GGGGCGGGGCGGGGCCCCTCTGGGCGCCAATCAGTTCCCGACTGCGCACCCATGCATGGACCCTGGGCCGGGTGGTGGTTACGGTGGTATAAGGGGCCATATGAGTAGTTTTCACGATGATGATGGGGCTATTGGTGCTCGGCCATGGTGGCCCCACCACCACCATTTGCGGTGGGTGGCCCGTCTGCTTGTGTCGTGGTCGTCCTTTTGCTCTGCAGACGCCTGTGGGGCGTGTGGCCACGTTGCGTAGAGTGTGACTTTGAGCTACTCACTGTAGTGTAACGCAGTTGGCCCATTGCTCGGCGTGCGTGTGGCTGCTTACACGCCGCGCCGCCCGACCCGTCGACACTCGAGCTCACGGAGAGGAGGCAATGTTGATCTTAATGCCGCACTTAATTGCCTAATTTTCTTTGGCCCGTGTGTGTGTGGAGGGAAGATCCTCATCTTTCTCTAACGAAAAAAAATTAGGCCGAAGAAATAGTAGAGCCGGTCGCGCGTTCGTCGCGCGCTCCCTTTTAATGGCTGCTGCTGCCGTGTGCCGCTCCCGGAGGCGGGCCCGCGCGGAGGTAATCCGAGGCGCGTCAAAGCAACACCTTGGGATAAGCGCCACGCCACGCTCGCCCTGCCTTGCCCCGCCACGCCCCGCCACGCCACACCCCGCCTCGCCCCGCCTCGCCCCGCCCCGCCACGGTGCGTCCTCTTTCCGCCGTCGGCGGCACCATGACCGGAACGATATGTCATGTCGAAAAATTTCGCCTAACCGTGGCCGTGGTGGGCCAGCAGCACCAGTCCGACCCCTTTCACTGGCACTGTGCCGCCGCCCTGTCCTACCCGTCCGTCCTCCTGTTTGTGGTCGTCCTGCTCCTCCTCCGTTTCTGACGCGCTCCTTCTTCTCTCTGCAGGGGGCTGTCCTCGGCGCGGGGCCACGTCAGGTCCACGGCGGCCAGCTCGTCCACGTCAGGCATCTCGATGAACGGCGACTCCATCATGTAAGTCCTTATCGTCTTGTCTCGTCGCTCCTAGCAGCAGCCCAACGTCCGAATGCGTTTGTGCTGCATTTCGATTAGTTAGCTTCCTCAAATTTTTTAACTACGTGAAGCATAAAGGTAATA